GCCACCAGGGCTGTCGCTACCAGGGCGTTTGCCCTACTGGACCTTGAGTTCCAGGGCTGGGTTGCCCTTGAAAACTGAAATTGATGGGTTGAAAAAAATCTGGCCCTGATTCTTTAGAGGGCTGATTTTGGTCTTAGGTCTGGTGTGTAAAGGGTAGAATTTAGGCGAGCCCTGGAACAAAATCTTTCGAGTCCTCCCTCCCAACTCCTCCACTCCCCCTCCCCCCCCTTTCTATCCTCGTTGCTTCCAACCTGGCAAATTTGGAGTTGCGTGGTTGAGCCAAAAATTCACTCAACCTTGCTGTAGTGCTTGCCGAGTGTAGATGTAAGCTTCGTAGTTGAAATTAGGCTGCAAACTTTTCCGCGCCAAAACTGTTTTATGGGAGGAAAGTTTTCCAGCCTTGAAGCCTAAAGGGCCGAGATTTGCCCCGACCCTGCTAAATACAGGGTCGTACATGCCGGCCCTCCTGATTTGTCCGGGGGCCCCAAAACGAATCGATAGCCCTGGTTGTCACTGTCAAAACATATGCATATTAGTATCTAGGCTATATTGGGGCTAGCCTTAGGGGGTACAGAAACATTCTCGAAACTCTAGTCTTGTACCCCAACCTTGACCCAATCACACACAACTTCATGCCTAAGATTCTAAGATGGTATCTAGAGCCTAGAGGTCTCTAGGACCTAAGATAAGGGCCAACCATTACCACATTATCTCACCTGCCTTGCCTGCTGCCCGCGCGCGCCTCGGCTGCACACGCGCGGCCCTTTTGTTTTCCCGCGCGCGTCGCTTGAGCAGCCCGCGCGCTCTTCGTTTAGGCCCGTTTAGGCCCGTTTTCGGCCCCGCGCGCCACGTCAGCCGCCCGCGCAGCCAGTCGCCGGCCCACGCGTCGCGTAAGCCGCCCGCGCGCAGCACGCTTAGGCCCTGCGCGCCGCGTTCGCCGCCCGCGTAGCCCATTTTCGGCCCCGCGCGCTACGTCAGCCGCCCGCGCAGTTTGCCGCCGGCCCGACACGTCACCTTCTCCGGTGACGGCGCGCTGCCCCCCCGTCGCGCGTCACGGCACCTGTGGGACCCACGCGCTGCCCTGCACCAGCTACGCCGCCCCTGGAGCAACCGCCCCTGGCCCCTGAAGCAGCCGCCCCTGGTGCAGCCGCCCCTGGACCCTCGAGTAGCCGCCCCTGGACCCAGAGCAGCCGCCCCTGGCCCCTGAAGCAGCCGCCCCTGGTGCAGCCGCCCCTGGACCCTCGAGCAGCCGCCCCTGGACCCAGAGCAGCCGCCCCTGGCCCCTGAAGCAGCCGCCCCTTGCGCAGCCGCCCCTGGACCCTCGAGCAGCCGCCCCTGGACCCGGAGCAGCCGCCCCTGGCCCCAGAAGCAGCCGCCCCTGGTGCAACCGCCCCTGGACCCAGAGCAGCCGCCCCTAGCCCCTAAAGCAGCCGCCCCTGGTGCAGCCGCCCCTGGACCCTCGAGCAGCCTCCCCTGGGCCCTGAGCAGCCGCCCCTGGCCCCTGTAGCAGCCGCCCCTGGACCCCGCGACGCCGCCCCTGGTCCCGCAACGCCGCCCCTGGTCCCCGTGCAGCCGCCCGCCGAGCGCCGGCCCTGCTCGCCCGGCGAGCGCCTGCCCTTCCCGCCTGGTGAGCACCTGCCTTGTTAACGCGCTGCCACGCCATCTGCCTGCCTGTCTGCCTGCGAGCCTGCCTGCCTGCCTGCCTGTCTGCCTGCCTGCCTGCCTGCCTGCGTGCCTGCCTGCCTGCCGCGCCTGCCCTGCACGCGCTGCTACTGCTGCTCCTTCTGTTACTACTGCTATTGCTACTGCTACTGCTACTGGCGGTGGCCAGATGCAGCTCTAGCGACATCCACACGAGTCTCTCCCGCCCCAGCAGCTTGGTGAGTGGTATGGTAATTGGGGTTGTGGCGGTAGCCGTCGTAGCTGTTGCCCTGGAGCTGGTCAGCTGGGAGCGTCTGGCAGTGGCCAGCTGCAGCTGTAGCGGCGTCCACGCGAGACACTCACTTCCCAACGGCTTCACGAGTGGTACGCTCAGAGTAGAGGGTCTTTGAGTCCCGTTAGCTGCCCGTACGTCATTCGCACAGGTGATCGGGCTAGTCAGCCTTGCAAGACACCTGGTCACACACAGTCCCGCTGCTTCGCCCGTCTGAGCGACGCCTGGCGTAACGAGTTTGGCGACGAGGCTGAGCTCCCCGAATGGCTGGAGCTGCTTAGGCAGAGGGTAGATGTATTTTCTCTTAACTATGATGCTATTCTCACTGCCATGTATGCATTGCCTACTAGTGCTGACGGTGCCTATTACCTGTGCGTACCGCCTGACCCAGGTATAGAGCCTGCTGCTCTAGGTGCTGGTGAGGCTGCTGCCCTAGGTGCTGGTGAGGCTTCTGCTCCAGGTGCTGGTGAGTCTGCTCTCTCTGGTACTACGCCTGCTGAGGCTTATTTTACCTTCACACTTGACTCCGGTGCTTCTCGCTCCTTCTTTTGCGACAGCACCACCCTCACGCCACTCAGTCGGCCGGTTCCAGTCTCCCTAGCAGACCCCTTTGGGAGTCCAGTCCGTGCGACCTCCACCACTGTCCTCCCTTGTCCTGCTGTCCCGGCACACTGTCGGGTCTTTACCTCCCCTCGTTCTCTACAAACTTGGGGGCGGGTTCTGCGCTCTAGGACGCGGGTGTTCACCAGTTCACCCCTGCCTACGAGCGTGTGACACACTGCACGTGTGCTCAGACGGGTCGTCACATGGCTACCTTCACTCGACAGCCGGGGTCGGGCTTGTACACACTGACCACTGAGTCCCCTCAGGTAGCTGCGTCTGCATGTGCGTCAGGCCAGTTGTCGGCCCCCTGCTCGTGTCGCGCCTTGTTGCACCAGACCCTCCTTTGGCACCACCGCCTTGGTCACCCCTTGGTGCAGCGCCTTCGCAGCATGCACCGCCGTGTCCTTGTCTCTGGTCTTCCCAGGGTTCTCCCTCCCCTCCCACCCTCGCCTGCTCCTCCCTGTCTTCCCTGTGTCGAGGGGCGGCAGCGCGCCGCTCCTCACTCCTCCTCGTTCCCTCCCACAGAGGCTCCCCTGCAGACTCTCCACCTGGACGTGTGGGGCCCAGCCCGCGTTCGTGGACAGGGCCACGAGCGGTACTTCTTGCTGGTCGTCGACGACTACACGCGTTACACCACGGTCTTCCCCTTGCGCACCAAGGG